CATTAAGTATTTCTAAAAAATAAGCCAGGGACAAATGGCTCACTCCTGTACTCCTAGCTACTGGGGAGGCTGCAATGAGAAGGATTATGGTTTGAGGCCAGCCTGGGCAAACTGTTCACAAGACCCATCTCCAAAATAACCCGAATAAAAATGTACTGAAAGTGTATCTCAAGTGGGAGAGTGCCTGCTTCATGAGCATGAAGCCCTGAGTTCAAACCCCAGTCCCACTAAGTAAATAAATAAATAATAAATTTAAAGAATGTGAAGCAAGCACAAGAGAGTACTTATGAACAAATAACCTTGAATCTGGGGAGAAAATGGTGAAAGTATAGATCCATATACATTCTTTTTTAATTTATTTTTATTATTGTTGTACTGGGCGTACACTGTGACATTTACAAAAGTTCTTGCAGTGTATCATAGTTGAATTCACCCCTCCATCATTCTCCTTTATCCCTCTACCCCCATTCCTGGAATAGTTTCAACAGGTCTCATTTTTCCATTTACATACATGAGTACATAGTATTTCTACTATATTCACCCTCCTACACCTTTTCCTTATATCCTCCCCCCTCCTACTGGTATCTACGCCTAAGACCTATTTTGGCTTCCTGTTCTCTGTTTTAGTAAAAAAAAAAAAAAAACACAAACCAGATTTTTGTTTGTTTACAATAGCTATACAGGGTGTTTCATTGTGACATTTCCATGTATATATGTATTATAGCCCAAATTGGTTCATCTCCTCTGTTTTTCTCCATTCTACCTTAGTCCTCTTCTTATGGTGATTTCAACAGGTTTAAAAATTCTATATTCATTCTTGTATAGGAAGTACTAATGTTTCTCTCTTGTTGTTGTTGTTGTTGATTAGAATGCAGGGCCATCTACTCAGACAGGGTTTTGAGTATAGAAGGAACATTTGAAGTAATTGCTGAGAATTCTGGCGGGGGCCGAGAATGTTGCAAGGGAAATACAGCTGGAGTGCCAGACTGTTGAAGCTGGTGAGCCAAGAGGTAGGGTACTATTACTCCCTCTTTTTCAAATGTACATTGTTATTTTTAGTGGTACTGGGGACTGAATCCATGGCCTCTCTCTCCGTAGGCAAGCACTCTATCACTTGAGCCATACCTTAGTACTTTTGCTTTTTTAGTTTTGCACGTAGGACATCACAGTGACTTTCCTCCGGCTGGCCACAAAATGATCCTCCTATCTCTGCCTCTTGAGCAGCTATAATTACAGGTCTATACCTGGCCTTATTATTCTCTTTATACATGTGAGGAAACTGAGGCTCAAAGTTAAATAATTTCTTCAAGGTTATAAAGCAAATCAATGAAAGAGCTAAACTTTGAGTATAGTCCTATGTGATTCTTTCTAGTACATTAAGCTAAATGAATTCCTTGGCCTACAGGGATAATTAAAATTTCTAGGAAAAGACTATTTGAGTTCCGAACTTTATTCTTACCTATCTATTCATCTTGTCCATTTCTATCAGTTTTTCCTGAGACCTATACTTCTGCAATCTCAGCTGTAAAATTTGTAGTCAAAGGAGGTCCCAGGAAAAAAATCAATAGAGGATCATGGTATATAATATAAATTCTTTTAGATACTACCATTTATTTTTTTCCTTTATTGTTGTCCTGGGTGGGGGTATATTGTGGCATTTACACAGGTTCTTATAATGTATCAAATATGTCATACATGAATTTACGTCCTCAAACATCCCCCCCACCCCAGATTCCTGGAATACTAACTACCATTTAGACACTACAGTTCAGTATTAGATTAAAGGCAAGCAGAGAGTTTACTGAGCCATAAGCACAATAATTGTTCCTTACAATTATATTTACTAAATAAGAATAAAACAGGACTGCATAGTAAGAGTACTGCATATAATGCTGAGAAGTATTTTTCTCATTTTATTGTCAGCACATTTCATTCTCCTAGTGAGCTCTATTTCAAAACCTCAGGCTTTATCCAGGGTTGTAATCTCTTAGAATTTCTAGAGAGGAAGTCATCTGCTTTCCTGGACAGTTTACAAATGTGAAGAAGTGGGTGATTGTGAATGGATATTGTAAATTCATCATGGAGGGCTTTCTAAAAGCATATTTTAGGTATCTACCTTCTTGCAAATAGTGCCCCTTCCTTCCCATCTATGCCCCAGGTCTGTAAGAATTTTAAAAATACATACTAAAAAACTTTCCTTGGAAAAACAGAAATAAAATTCCTTACAACTTAAGAGTTTTGGGAGTTATTTGAGAAATAATAAGATAAGCAACTACTGTTTAGGTTATATTTTGGACAAGGTCTGCACTCAAGACAGAAATAGTTTTCTTTCATGTCTAATTGGTAGGCTAAAGCCCAGTTCTCTAATGTACTTAACTTTTCTGGGGTATCTGATAACTATGGCTTGTGTGGTAAACTTCGCTACATAGCTAGGGAGAAGGCACTTTGAATATATGTACATCAATTGTATGCAGTGCACTCTACCATCACTCCCTCTTCAGTCCCTCTTAGAGAAGGGACTTACAGAGCAATTTTTTTTTTTTTTGGAACTGTAGTTCTTTTGTAAATAATGAAATTATTTTAGTGGGTTCTAACTAGCATTTGTTAAAAATAAGAAATACAATAAAATACAGCAAAAAACTAGGGTACTTTTCACAAAATAAGGATAAGCATTATTTTAGGAAACACTTCCTATGTATGCGTGCATGGGTATGTTGATCTGATGTGACATGTATTTCTTAATGCTGTCCTGGTGAATAACTAGGAGTTACTGTTTTAGAGGACTCCAGCTCCATGGAGACATCTGAAACCATATTCATGTGATCTTTTTCTAATCCTCTGGAGCTGATATGATCCTAAATAGTATATTCTAGGGTTGCCCTAAATATCCTTGCAATCTTAACTACATGCTTTGCCTGAGCTTCCAAAGTAAATAGGTGAAGGAGCTAGGACTTGAATATAGTTTATGTGAGCTGAGGGATGTTGATGTGAGCAGATTTACTCCCTGAACCAGTGCTGATGCTGTAGAAAGCATTTCAGAATCCACAGCTTTCTCAGTATCATGCATTTTGAGTACTATGAAACTAATTAGCCATACTTTATTTTCATTTTAATCATAATAAAAGGTTAGGATGTTGTAAAACAAATAAAATGTCTAATAAGCATTTATCTCTTTAATATAATTATAATTTTTAAGTCTGTAAAAACGTTCTTTGCATGTGTTGTTAATAAGTACCATTTGACCATTTTCATAAGGACCATCCCAAGAGATAGTCTAAATTTTGATCAAAACAAACAAAAATAAAATTCTTGGTTTCCACATAGTTACTTGATCTGTGTTTACATGTGTGCTGTCAATGTACAAAAATTAAGCAATTGTGTAAGGTAATTAACATTTACTGAAATTCCTCACCTGCAGTTTTAATTAGGAAAGCTTTTCTTCACCTGCCATTAATTCATTGTACAGTAACTGTCCTTTTCTAATTCAAGCTCTTTTGGAACATGTACAACTTTATAAAAAGGTTCCATACTGGGGATGCATTAATATTATTATGAAAATATAATGTTTTATAAAATTTCTCAGAATCCCTAAAGAGGAAGAGAAGTGTCATGGAGTATTATTGTTGAAAGAGAAAGTGAGAAGGCAAAGAATGAAAAAAAAGTTAAAAAACATTAATCACAATAAATGGGTACATGTAAAATAACAGCATATGTTCATTAAATATGTACTATTTTCTTTCTAGTCTTAGAAAGAACTACATGAGATGGACATAATTGATCCCAAAGTAGAATATACAACACTAAATAAGGTCAAACGGGAAGAAGAGCTGGGAAAATTCTTAAAGGCAAACACTTTATCAGGTTGCTTTGAGATGTAGTAAAGTATTAATATATTTTGCAAAATGTCAGAAGTTACCAATGCCAAGATGTGTGTATATAAATATATATATATATATATATATACACACACACATATATATACACACATATAAATAATATACAAGTATATATAATATAAATATATACATGCATGTATATATCTTCTGGATGTTTGTATTGGAAAAATGAAATACAACATTCTTTAACTACTTAAATTCCATTTTTAATTCAAAGCCAACTGATTTGAAAGTCTGTTAGCTAAAGTGCAAACTTTTTTTTTTGTTTTTCTTTTATTATTCATATGTGCATACAAGGCTTGGTTCATTTCTCCCCCCTGCCCCCACCCCCTCCCTTACCACCCACTCCGCCCCCTCCCTCTCCCCCCACCCCCTCAATACCCAGCAGAAACTATTTTGCCCTTATTTCTAATTTTGTTGTAGAGAGAGTATAAGCAATAATAGGAAGGAACAAGGGTTTTTGCTGGTTGAGATAAGGATAGCTATAAAGGGCATTGACTCACATTGATTTCCTGTGCGTGGGTGTTACCTTCTAGGTTAATTCTTCTTGAACTAACCTTTTCTCTAGTACCTGTTCCCCTTTTCCTATTGGCCTCAGTTGCTTTTAAGGTATCTGCTTTAGTTTCTCTTAAAGTGCAAACTTTTAAAGGTTTAGAGAAAGGGTAACCAGGAGAAAGGATGACAAATTATAATCCTTTAATGTGTTTTGCATTTAAATGCTTTCATGATAAAATTATTACAGTATTCCAACTCCACCTACAAGCTGAATAAAGAAAACTTAATATACCCAAGGTAATATAAGAGATGACATACTGAGTTGTGACCGGTTTGTAGAATGAAACTATAACTCAACACACACTTGTAGGAGGGCAGGGCAGTGAGCCTACCCATCAAATCAGAAGACAGAAAACTGTCATTCCTGTAATAAAAATCTATTCTCAACCTCTCAAGTGAATTAATAAAAAATACTCATAAAGATGGTATCTATAATTTACAAATCTTCCCTCTCTCCCATATAAGCTGGATGTAAGCATGTGTAAAAGTAAGTTTATGGAAAAGGGATGTTAAAAGAAAAACACTGTATAACACAATTCTTTCTCTTACCATTGTCACCAGAAGGTAATGATACAGTGTTTGTTGGCATGGTTTCAGAATTCACTTTTCCATTCTCAAATGTGTCATTTTCAGTCTGTTGTAACTGCCAGTTGAGGCCAAATAGATGCATTGCTGGGGGTGAAGAATACAAGTTGTTTAAAGGTTTGCTGCTTTTAACTTCAAAAGCAAATGGTAAGCATGTTTATAACGAGAGTCATATGTAAAGTTAAAATTTACATTTTCTGAAATACCAAGGATAATTGTGCAATATAAATTATAAAACAAGAGTTCCTCATACACATGCAATTTACTTAGCAATGCCATGCAATATGGCAGAATTTCAAAAATGATTTAATACTACTCAGATAACTGGAACCAGGAAAGTCTTAAGAATGAATCATTATTTGCTCTACTTTGTCTGTGTTCCACTTTTCACCATCTTGGTGGCAGAATGTTCTGTAGCAGCACTTGCTAAACACGCATGACTACAGGTCATCTGCAAACTTGTAATGCTCTGTTAAAACACCTATATATTCTCAAGAGACATGAGGCTATACATTTGTATTATGATAAAAACAAAAGCTGGTTTCACAGATGAATTTGTCGGTATATGAAATGACTAGAATGGAGTCAGATGTGTAAAACATAATAAAAGAATATCTTAAATTTAGCACAAACAATTTTTGAATTTATGACATATGATTCAGTATTGGAACAGATTAACCAACATGCATATGTATCAGGCAATTTCTTATGGTTTTATAAATTTATAAATGACATACACTTATTAAAATTTTATGCTTACTAATTTTCTTTCCTTAAAAGAACTATGTGATGTGGTTACAAATTTACAAATGTAATATAACTTAATATTTTAATATACTATTTTTCTTAATTTATCTAAAATATTTACAGCAACATGTAACTGGCATATTAACCATTAGTAGCTACTAAGCATTCATCCATGCTTCACAAAATATAGTCTAGAAATTATGTCCCAAGGAAGGCTAAATATTCACAAGGAAATCCAATGGTGGTCTTATTACTATATCACAAAAGAGAACTTTTTTGACATTATTTTGGAATTTACCAGAAAGATGGAGAAAGACATAAGTGTTTAAAAAGACTTCTTAGAGGCAGCATGAAAACTATCATTGTCAAAAAACTGTTTATTATATATCCACAGGGTTAACAAAATTAAATTGGTGGAGTATAAACTTACATTGAAGGCTTTGGGTACAGTTAGACTTTTGTTTAATCTTTAGTCTAGCATTTAACCTTTGAAAAGTATTGTTAAACATTAGGTTTACTTAAAAAAATGAGGACTGTTAAAACTGTCTCATTTATCTGATATGAAAATTCTAGACAGAGAATAGGAAGTTTAGCTGGCATACAGGAGGACAGTTCTTAATATACAGTCATTTTATTTACTTATTCTGGATTCCTGACCAGACCACAGCACCTTTCAATAAGCATCCTCTTTGTCTACAAAGCTCCCCACCCACTGGAAAATACTTATTTGTAACTCAGGTGGTAGGTGTTAACTTCTTGCAGAAACTTACCCTGACTGGGTTGAGTGTCTTTCCCAAGATGATTTTAGTTCACATTTGCATATGATTTATAAGATATTAATAGTGTTAAGGATAGAATGCCTGATACCTACTAGGTTACAACAAGTATCTGTGAAATCAATGAGTGAACAATACTTCTAGCTTCTGAAAATTTAAAAGCAAAGGAAATACTGTTGCAGATAATATAGTAATTTAAAGAAAAAGTAAATATAAAATACATCCATGAATGGTTAAGGATGAAGAGCCTATTAATATTTAATGACTTCTTTAGTGTAATGTATGAAATGTAGTTGAGTGAAGTCTTTTATTACTATATTTGATTGAATTTTAAAATTCATTAATTTTAGAATATATGATTACCAGCCTCCCATTCTTTTGTTAATAACACCTGCTATAATAACAAAATTCCACATCTTTTTATGATAAAAGCTCTGAAGAAACTACGAATAGTACCTCAACATAATAAAGGTTATATATGACAAACTATTAGCCAACAAAATTATAGTAAATAGGGAAAAACTGAAATAATTTCCTCTAAAGTCAGGAATGAGACAGACTGTCCACTCTCCCCACTCCTATTCAATATAATACTGGAATTCCCAGCCAGAGCAATAAGGCAAGAGAAAGAAATAAAATTCCAATGCCATTCATCACAGAAATAGGAAAATTAATCCTAAAATTCATATGGAAACTTAAAAGACACTGAATATCAAAAGCAACCCTGAGCAAAAACATGCTGTGGAAATATCACAATAATAGACCTTGAATCATACTAGAGTCACAGTAACAAAAACAGCATGGTACTGGCACAGAAACAGACTCAAAGATCAGTGGAACAGAACAGAAAACCACAAATAAAACCACACAGCTACAGAGAGCCACCTGATCTTTGACAACGAAGCTAAAACACACTAAGAAAAGAGCCTTGTTAACACACAGTGGTGGGAAAACTGGTTATCTACATGCAGAAAAGTGAAACTAGACCCCTATCTCTCATTCTGTACCAAAAATTAACTACAAATGGATCAAAGACCTGAAACCTTGAAAGTACTACAGAAAAAAGTCAGGAAAAAGTCTGAAGATATAGGCATTTTCTGAATAGGACTGCAATTGCTCAGGAAATAGGAGTAAGAACTGACAAATGGGAGTGCATAAAATTAAAGTTTCTGCACATCAAAGGAAACACCAGAATCAAGAGACAACCCCCAGAATGCATTAAAAAAAATAATAACCCACAAATCTTTGCCAGCTATTGAATAGATAAAGGGTTAATAGTCAAAGTATTCGAAGAGCTCATAAAACAGCAAAAGAATTTAAAACTCCAATCAATGAATGGGTAAATGAACTGAAGACAGTCCTCAGAAGATACATACGTGACTAGTAAATACACAAAGAAATGTTTACATCCTTAGCCACAAAGGAAGTGAAAATCAAAACTACACTGACATGCTATCTCACCCCAGTCAGATTGGCAATCATCAAGAAAATAATAATAAATGCTGGCAAGGATGCGGGGCGAAAGGACACTCATACACTGTTGGTGGGAATGTAAACTGGCACATCCACTAAGGAAATTAATATTGAGTTTTCCCAAAAACCTAAAAACAGACCTACAATGTGACCCAGCCATACACTCTTGGGTATATATCAGAAGGTGTGTAAATCAACAAGAGAGAATCCTGCACACCCATGTTTATTGCAGCTCTCTTCACAATAGTTAACTGTGAAATCAGCTGAGGTGCCCAACAAGCAATAAGTGGATAAAGAAAATATGGATATATATATATATACACACACACACAATATATTATCTATACCATGGAATATTACTCAATCATAAAGAAAAATAAAATTAGGTCATTTGCAGGAAAATGGATGGAACTGGAGATCATCATATTGAGAGACATAAGTCAAGTTCAACCGGCCAAATATTGCACATTCTCACCATTTGTGGAACCTACATGTAAAATAATGATATAATAATAATAACAATAACATGAATATGAAAGATGAATGGTCTTTTTCAATGGAAAGAGGGAGGGAGAAAACAAAGGACAGTGAGGGGTGAAGAGGATTGAATTGAATTATGCTATACACACACACACACACACACACACACACACACAAAAAGACAGCATAATGAAATCCACTAAACATTGTTTCAAAAAGGGGAAATGGGAGGGAGGAATGGGAATATAATGAGGGGATGAACCTGTTCAAAGTACACTGTACACACATAGAGAACTATCACAGTGAAAACTCCTTGTATTATTAATGAATTCTAACTCAATAATATAGTAAAACTATTTTAAAATAGTATGTGATATAATAGCATGCTGTAGGGGGAGTAGGTCAAGTTGTTGACCGTCTGCCTAGCAAGCACAAGACCCAGATTTCAAACTGCAAGACTGCCAGAAAAAAAAATACTAAGTATCAGACATAAATAGCTACATCTACCATGTATATTTGCAACAAATGCATATACACATACTTCCTGCTTAAATTACAGACTGCCAGAAATTCCACTTAAACTCTGATTTTCATGGATTAAGATACAGGTTTTAGAATTTCTGAATTTGTGAGTTGTCATCTTGTAAAGAGGTATAACTTCATATGTCATTTTCCATTAAGTTATGTAGTGTTTGAATGGTAAAATGTCAGGAGCTTTCTAAACATTTATCACTTCATACATTTTCAAGGTTTTAGATACTTTAGCAATTTTTGCACAAAATAATGAGAACTAGTTCTGCATATAGCAAAGGTTTGACAGACATAACTTCAGTACAGAAACAATCAATATAGACCTTCTCTGACTTAGAATGGTTCAAGTTCCAATTTTTCATCTTTATGATGGTGCAAAAGCTATACACATTCACTATAAACCATAATTCAAATTTTGAATTTTTATCTTTTCCCAGGTGAGCAAATATGGTGAGATATTTTCTCACAATGCTGAGCAATATTATGGAGCTACAGCTCCCAGTCTGCCACAGGATCACAAGGGCAAACAGCAGAGACGCTCTAGTACACCATGTTGCTACACTAGGATGTTTGGCAGTTTAGGTGTACTAAATACATTTTTGGCTTCAATATTCGCAACCTTCAATAACTTTATAGAGGTGTTACCTCACTCTAAGTCAAGGAGTACCTCTTGCATGGGGCCAAAGTTCCATGCAAAATAATTTATCATTATTGTGTGATTGTTTAACATAAAAAGTCTTCTTGGATGATAGATATGCTCATATTATTGGTCTTAATATACTTTGAAGGGTGGAGCTAATTCATGAGACTATGCACAGATGTCAAATGTTAAGTATGAGGTTTGTGTTAGGAGAGCTATTTTATTTTTTGCCAGCTGGGCAACAGCTTTATTATGTACTTTTTATTATAAAAATATCTCAGTAAGAAGAGACTCTGGTTCTACTTAAGATGGTGTATAATGAGAATCATGCCCAATAATGTTCTATATTGTTTAAAACTTCATTGAAAACAGAAAGCAACAAGTTGTTTATTCTCAGGCCATTATCTACTCTGAAACTGCTGGTGTTTGGTAATCAGTGAAGCTCTTGATACTTACATATAATGTAAGATTTGTATACATACTTCAGGGTTAATGAGAGTAGAGCAAGGCAGACAGCAAACTCAAAAAAGTCAAGAATGTTTCAGAAATCACTGAGCAGTATTGTAATAAAACATGGGATATCTTGGCAGACAAATAAAAGGAAAATTAGCTAAATGAAATACATCTGCAAATAAAAAAGAGGATAAGGCCAATTGTTCAATTCAGAGCTGGAATGCAGATTGGAGTGATGGGAAAGTATTCACCACCACTATTCATGGATAGTCTCAAGGATCTTTGGTTCACACATATCCCTGTGGTGGTGGTGGTGGGGTGCAGGAAGAGTGGTGGGAGCTCTGTGCTCAGATGAGTCTCTTGCTTTTCTGGAGACAGAACTTAGGTGAGGAGGTATATGGTAGGGGCAATACTAGACATTCTTGGTCGCAAAGTGTTTCTCAGGCTGGTGTCAGAACATCATGATGCAAGTTAAAAAAAAAGTTCAGTGAACAAACACTATGTGAAGCACTGAGCTAGTGCTTCAGTTGCATTATCTTATTTAAGCTTCACAAGCGCTCCACTGAATAGCTAGCTACTACTGACTTTTTTTTTTTCATTTTACATCTGACAATGGAGGGTCTTTGAGACAAGATATAAGAACTTCATAAGATAAAAGGTTCCAAGCCAGAGAGCAATAGACCTTGGCCTGAAGTCTAGACTTTCAGATGACAAATGGCATACGACTACACGCTTTTCTATCCTGCCGGAGGCTAGTGGAGTGTGGAAATCCACGCAGGAGGAGGAGAAATGTAACTTTTGAGAGTGTCTCAGGCTACAGCTAACAACGCTTCTGTGCTGCACTAAGGAAGCAGAAGGTGAGACTGCGGTGTAGACGGCAGGCAGGGTATTAACAGGTAACAGCTGTGGGCTCCAGGCACAGTTCTTCCATACTGCTACTTTCTACACTATAATGTTACAAACTAACTTCTTAAAGAAGTATTATCTTAGTGATGAAATTAAGATCTGGCTACTTCAGTTAACTTCAAGTTAACTTCTTTCTAAGAATAAAAATGATAATTTAAAAATTATACAAGCAAAAAATTTAAAAATGCATAGAACACTATACTTATGAATTCTAAAGTTATAGAAATAGTATTCATGTAGATGTAATCTTTAAAAATTGTTTGTCTTATATTGTCATTTTTATATATTTCTAGATGATATTAATGTGTGGGATGGTGAACACATCCAAAATATTATCCAAGGCAGAATGGAAGTTATAGATGATAGCAGTGTGTATCTGAGAGCTTGTGGTTTTTTTCTCACATTTTAACATAGTTTGATATCTATTATCTTCTAATGTACTATGTGACAGGGCTCATTATCCTCATTGTATAGGGATGAAAGTAGGCACAGGGTCAGTAACTTACCCCATGTCTATTAAAATATAAGTACATAAAGAATACTTCTGATACCTGAGCTGTCCTCAATTTCAGGATTCCTTTTCCTAAACTGTGATGTTTCACTGATTATTAGTGTTCTCAACTAAAATGTCCAACCACATGAAAGAAATTAAAAAGTTTAAATACAAGTTGCTAATTTATCTAATTTTTAAAGTTGGAAATACGATCAGAAGTTGTCCATATGTTAAATTGGCTTCTAAAATAAGAATTCCATCATCTGCAACTGGTTGTATTTGGAAGATCATTTACAAACTGGTTGTTTGTAGTTGGAATATATTTTCTCATATGAAAATCTTAGAAATTGGCCCCAGGCATGGCTTAAGTGGAAAGAGCTCCTGCTTAGCAAGTGTGAGACCCTGGGTTCAAACCCCAATACCATACACACACAACTGGAGATGATTAACTCCCCAGTTGGTCTATAAAATTTGTCTATATGTCCAATAGAAAGATGCATAGATATAGCACCAAAATGCACAGAAAAAGAATGTTTATAGAAGCATTATTTATAATAACCCCAGACTGGAAACAACCTATGTGTCAGTAGTGAAATGCATAAGTAACCTGTAGTGTAGACATACAGTGGTTTCCATACAGCAGTAGAAATGAACAATGCTTACGGTCAAGTAAAACAACGTGGATGAATCTCAGAATCCAGTGAAATAAAATGTGAATACTGCATAAGTGCATGTGTGAAAAGTTCAGAGGCAGTTAAAATCAACTGGGAGGAATAAAAAATCATCATACTGATTACCTCTAGGGAGAAGGGGCAGATAATGGCTAGGAATGTCCAAAGGGGGCTTCTGGAGTGTTGGTAATATTCCATGTGGGAGGTCGCTCTACTACTGTGCTCACTTATGGTCTCTACACTTTGCTTGCCTCTTTCTGAATCAGGGTCTTGCTATGTAGCTTACGCTGGCCTCAAATTTGTGATCCTCCTGCTTCAGCCTCCCAAGAGCTGGGATTACAGGGGTATGCCACCACATCTGCTTATCTTTTTTTCCTTCCCCTTTTTATTTTTACTTTTTGGCAATACTGGGGTTTGAACTCATGCTTGCAAGGCAAGTGCTCTGCCACTTAAGCCATGCCCCTAGCGCTTTTTGCTTTAGTTTATTTTTCAGATAAGGTCTTACATTTTTGGGCCATCATTCTCCTACCTCCACCTACCACTTAGCTAGGATTATAGAAGTGTACCACCATGCCTGGCCCGGCATGCTTTTCTAAATGCTTATTATACTTGAGTCATCACACATGTTTACTCTCCCTGCAAGTGCTGCCTTATGACAGACTATATTACAGCCCCAAGAGAAAACTAGGAATGAAAGCAGATAATACAGAGTAAAGATGCTGTACCAAAGAATGGAAAATTACTCCATTACAGGGGAAGAAAGCAGCATGATTAAACAAATCATTTACTGTGTTAATGACTGTCAGCACATGGTCTTCCCACATTGATTTGTAGTTTAGAAACATGATTTGTCTTGGCAAAGGCGTGGAGAAAGAAACCCTAGTGCACTGTTGGTAGAACTGCAAATTGGTAATTGCTTAAAAAATTAAAAATAGAAGTACTATGTGATCCAGCAATCTTACAACTGGTTATACTCAACAGAACCAAAATTAAAGTTTCAAAGAGATATTTGCACACCTATGTTCGTTACCAGTACTATTTGGAATAGTCAAGAGGTGAAAGTAATCCAAATGTCCACTGATGGATGAATAAACGAAATGTGGTTCGTTTGTGTGTGTATGCATATTATTCAGCGTATACTCCTTATTTTCTCACTATGACTTACAATTTTCTTTCTATTAGTCCCACCACCAATGGTTATGGGTGTCTCTTAAATTGCCACATCCAGTAGCCTCTCACCAGCTTATGGTTTGGCTATAACCTTAAAGAGGCACTCAATTATGAAGGGACCAGAGTTTATGATCCACAGAACTCAAGATAATAAATGTTCATTGTTTATGCTGCTAATTTTGGGATAATTTGGCGTGCTGCAATGAACAATATAGCCACTGATATTTTTAGGGTTTCTATTTAGCATTCACTTGCCCCCTACTGACATATACATACACAACTCCTCCCTTCACGAATTGCCCCCAAACATACACACTCAACAAAACCCATCCTAAACCTTTCTTCCACCTCAACTGCTTTTATGATTTTAACTTTCAATTTCATGTGGATGGATGAATTCAAATATGTACCTTTAATAAAAACTTCTTTATGAACTGACCTACACTTCAAACTTTATGTTATACTACTGGACATACCTGGAAATCCTGGAGTACCAACTTCAAATTTTATCCTCAGTTGTTTTGCTTTCTGGGTTTCCTGTCTTTGTTCATGAGATCACTTTAGCCTTGGCAATGAAGTCAAGACATGCCTAGGCTAAATCACAGTTCTGTGAATTGCTAACTATGTGGCTTTGGGTAATTATTTAACCTCTAAATGTCCCAATTTTCTTGCCGACTAAATAGAATTTATAATTACCTTTTTTTTAAATAGATTTGCTATAAAATTAAGCTGTTAAATTAAACACAATGTATATAAAACTTTAAGATTCCTAATGATGTTCAGTAGATGTTACAATTACTGATCACCAAAAATGTACACCCTGAATCTATTTTTTCTCCCTTCCTTATCTTCTCATCCTATCAGTTGCTAGGCCCAGCAATACCTCTCCTAATTGCATTTGTTTGTTTGGAGCATCTCTCTCCTATTTGGGACCCTCATTTAAATTTTTTAAAATTTATTTTTCATTTTCTCCAAGCTATATGTATACATGCTTTTACAAAGCTTATTATGCAAAACTTCAGTCTACAACCTGCTCATCTAATTTTCCCACTCTTTAGACAAAATCATATTTGATTTTGGACTTGTTCTTTCACCATATTCTTCCTTACGTGACACTACCACTCTTATAATGTTACCTCCTAGTCTTGCAGTTTTTGGTATTATCTGTAGAACTGGAGCTTGGCAGAGGTGCTCATTACTTCTAATAGTTTCCCATTCCCCTTTCAATCTACTCCACATACAGTTCCCAGAGCTACATTCCCAAAAGGGTGTCTGATAGTCTGATTATGGTCTTGTCACAGGTAGCCATTAAATGTATCTCATGTATTCCAGTTATCTCCTCTTACAGCTCCCATGAGCTGACCTTATCTGCCTATCCCTTAACCATCCCTTAATTCTCCTGTCTCTGGACCTTTATTCTTTCAATTCCTGTTGTTTCTTTCTGGAATGCCACACCCTCAACCTCTACCTGAGGAAATCTCACCAGCAACTTATTTCATTATGAAGTCTCCCTAGAAAATAGAAAGTGCCATAGCACTTTGCATTATTTTACTTTACCATCCCACGATATATATTTAACTTTTTGAGGTGTTTTAGGAAAAGTAGAAATGGATCTTTGCAGTTGGGGGAATGGGTATTTCCATAGAAGAGAGAGAATGGGGTTGTGAGGAAAGAGAATAAATGCATAGAATTCTGTCTATGGAAATGAGAGGACATGTAAAGGAAAAACCTAATATAAACCACCAAAATTTCAAATGCTTACAGTTAAGTTTGGATGGCTGGGTCTCTACAGATGAATTGATTCCTGAGAATGTGGGGTGACTAATAGAAGATCTTAGACTGTCATAGTTAGGAGTCTTCAATGGCACCTAATGTAACTCCACTCTTTGTCAGGATATTAGAACACAGATTTATAAGATAATTCCCACTCAATAAAGACCCCTTTTAAATAAGTTGTAACATCTGACATTTGTCTTCTACAAAATGAAGCATTCTTTATATACTACCATCAAAACCAATGATAAGGAAAACCCAGTATACCAAGTCTATGAATGAACTACATATTAAGTTATTAATAACTACTGAAACCTGGGTTACAATCTAGTAGCCTAGTTATGCTGTATCTTTTTAGCTTGTTTTCTGGTATTCTTAGACTATAACCACATTTAAAGATGTTGAAAATTTAACTATTTCTTATGTAACTCAAAAACATTCATTCTATATCCTCTTAGGAGTTTTCTTTTTAACCTGTAAGTTTTCTCAGTAAATGTTAAGGGGAAACAAAAATCTCATGAATTGAGACAATTTTGTGACAATATGTTAGTAAGGACCTGTGAGTAAAATTTATGAAGAAATTCGCTTTCTGACTCAAAGACTATTCAAGTGAGAGAAATTACAGTATGCATTGCTTTTATTTTTTAAGGTTGATGGAGATGAACAGAACCCATGGCACTACATACAGGGGCATGCCATTGTTTTTAACCAGTATATGTTGGTTTGACACTTAAAACAGCATGTGGAACACTTTGAAACAAAAATGTGTAATTAAGAAAAATTATATACCACCAAGTAGCAAATTTAGTGCCATTTTTAGATTCATGTTGAGGAAAAAGGTGCCAAGTTTTGATCTGATCTCTGGGGACCATGCCACTGAAGCTGTTACCACAGTTACTATTATTTCTACTGGCATGCCTGATTTTTTCAGAGCCTGCCAAATATGGATAGGAAGGAGGGGTGGTGACAGCTGGTGACAGAGTCCAGCAATCTGTCAGAACCTTGGAGCAAATTACAGGGGATGTTGTGAAGGGAACACAGAAACAGGCACCCTTTCCATCAGTAACTCGAGGGCAGCTTATGCCACCAGAGCCCTGAAGACTACTCTCCAAGGTTTTGGCAACACACAGCACAGCTCTTAGCAGGCCTGCCATTATTGCCCAAATGCAGTTTAATATTACAAGATCAAGCAAACATTCTTATAAAGATAAAAATTATTAGAGAATAGTAGAACTAAGGTTGGGTGAGGAAAACTAATTTTAAAAATATCAACCTGAAGCTGAGTGCCAGTGGCTTATGCCTATAATCCTAGCTACTCAGGAGGCAGCGATCAGGAGGATCCTGATTGGAAGCCATCCCTGGGAAATAGTTCTTGAGACCCTATCTCAAAAATACCCAACACAAAAAAAGAGCTGGCAGAGTGGCTCAAGTGGTAAGAGCACCTGCCAAGCACATGTGAGACCCTGAGTTCAAACTCCAGTACTGCAAAAAAAAATCTGAAAATATTTGCAATTCAGTTTTGTTTAGTCTCTAAAACCTTGAAAGCTCACCAAAGCAAGCTAAGGTATAGTTTTCCCTTCTTATTATTCCCCTCATGTCCACTATGGTACACTTTCTCCCAAATAATCTTTCTGACAAATGCTCATCAAGAACCTCTTAACAAGCAGAGCATGCTGCAGCACACCAGTAATCCCATCTATTGGGAAGATGGAGATAGGAGGATGGTGGTCTGGGCAAAGTTAACTCAAGAACCTATCTGAAAAACAAACTAAGCAAAAGGATTGGGGACATGGCTCAAGAGGTCCTGAGTTCAAACCCCAGAACAAGAAATCTCTTAACAGAAGTTGTAGAAAAAAAAAAAATCAGTATCTGAACCCTTATAGTTAAGGGCACTATTTTCAATGCAAATTCAGTGCCTTATGTTTACATTAAAAGATACCTGATTCCCACTTGTAATTCTGGCTCTAGCTAGTTGTGGAACTGTGGCAAGTTACTGAGCTTCTTTGAGGCAGAGATCTTATTTATATAAAATTCTGAAAGGAGTACACTAGATAATCTCTTCCAGATTTATATTTTATGATATGTCAATATATTTTAAAATCCAAATATTCAGGTTAAATCATGGAAACTGAAAAATAGCTGGTATCAATAACAAGCCAACAGACTAAAATACTAGCATTGTTTCTTTGTTTTTATTTTGAAAACCCTGCATAGGGTCAAATTATCATATGTATGATTCTTTGGGTATCTTGGGGTTTGAGAGCACATTTTTTTCTTTTTTGTTGCAATGTCATGAAACATATAAATATCCACGATGCACATGTGGAATTATTAGATTTTATGGAAAAAAAGAAAAATACTCTTGAATATAGGGCAATGATTAGATGTGATACATACTTCCACAGCACAACCAAGTTTTCTCTGTAAAATGAAAGCATTTTGTGTAAAGATTGCAGTTTGTAACTTGGACCCCCTACTGGTCTAAACTGTCATTAGGAATACATAGTTTTCCATAAATTAGCTTTTGTTTTGGATTTCCTGCTGTGTTTATATACATGTTGACGGAATGTGTTAGGCAATATTTTGGCATTCTACTCCATTATTATTTGTTATTAACTTTTAAGGATAATGTTATTTCAACAGTCTACACCTTGCTGACCCAAATATGGTTATTTTAAAATCAGTATTTCTTTTGAAAGCTTTTATAGCTGCACATTCTTAGCTGTCATTAACAGAAAGGAAATTATTTTGTCAACTAAAGAATATTTTGATATTCAAAAGAACTAACTTGGACAACATTCTGAAATCACAGGCTTTATGAATGAACAGATTCGGGGTGGGGGAGGGAAGAAACAGGGTAAGGAAAGGCTGCCAATATTTTATATCTCTATGCTGTTTTTTCTTTCCCTCCTTTTTTGGTATGATGTCATTAATGGAGTCACACTGATTATCAAAATGTCTTGATGAAAATAAACAGTGATTTAACTTGTAAGTTTCTTTATGCCATATCTGACTCATATTCTTTTATAAATGGTAGCATTTAAAAATTCTGTCTTTGAAGCTCACTGCTTTTTTTTCCTGCTAACCATGTAGACACAGTATAAGCCATCTAAGGAATGCTGTTTGGGACATGATAATTCCACATGCCCATTGACAGCCAATGCTGAAGCTAACTAACAGAGGCTGGTGAAAATCAAGCTGTTGTTTTCTGCAACCAAGGGAATTAAGTTAGGATATATATCTAATTCAGACT